CAAGGTGCGGTGGCTCACGTCTGTAAACCCAGCACTTTGGGAGGTGAAGATGGACGGATCAATTGAGGGCAGGAGTTCAAGACCAGCCTGGCCAACATGGCAAGACCCTATCTCTACTAAATCCACAAAAAATTGGCCGGGCGCAGTCGCTCACGCCTGTAATCCCAGAACTTTGGGAGGCTGAGGTGGGTGGATCATGAGGTCAGGAGATCGAGACCATCCTGGCCAACACGTTGAAACCCCATCTCTACTAAAATACAAAAAATTAGCCAGGCGTGGTGGTGAGCACCTGTAGTCCCAGCTACTTGGGAGGCTGAGGCAGGGGAATCACTTGAACCTGGGAGGCAGAGGTTGCAGTGAGCAGAGATTGTGCCACTGCACTCCACCCTAGTGACAGACTGAGACTCCATCTCAAAAGCAAAACAAAACAAAAAATTAGCCAGGTATAGTGGCACATACTTGTAGTCCCAGCTACTCCAAGGCTGAGGCAGGAGAATCACTTGAACCCAGGAGTCAGAGGTTGCAGTGAGCTGGGATCACACTACTGCACTTCAGCCTGGGCAACAGAGCGAGACTCCGTCTCAAAAAAAAAGATAGAAATAAAAATAAATAAAATTATGTTCTTAAGAGGATTTGTTATCTATTAATTTCATTTAAGAGCATTAAACAAGGAATTACAAAATGCCTCTTCTAAAAAGAAATCTTAAGGCTCCCCGGACGGAGAACTGCTGGGTTTTCCTAGCCTGTTGAGGCTGCTAGAGCAAAATATCCTAAACTGGTGAGTTGAAAACAATAAACAGTTATTTCTCCCAGCTTTGGAGGCCAACAAGCCCAAGATAACACCACCAGCAGATGTCCGGTGAGGGCTTGCTTCCTGCTTCACAGATGGCACCTTCTCCTCCGTCCTCACAGGGTAGGCAGGCTAGCTAGCTCTCCACAACCTCTTCTATGAGGGCACTGATCCACTCATCAGGGCCCTGTCTCTGTGACCTCACACCTCCCAACACCACCAGACTGCTGATTAGGTTTCAACCTGCACTTTTTGGGGAGACAAACATCCAGACCACAGCCTGGCTTAATTAAATGACCCATGCTGATGATGATACAGCCAGACAATGGGAGATGATGTCATTCCTTTAACGAATAAGGTAATAGTATGTGAATTCATTTCAAGTAATATTGGTAATAGTCTTGAAATGCAGATCAAGGAATAGGATATGGTCCCATCTGTGTTTTTCAGAAAACGAACACGTGCATACAAACTTCTTGGAATGCCTTTTCTAGCGGTGAAACGGTACGGACGGTGCAGTGAGAGCCGCTCTGCGCTGATTGTATTTCGGTACACTTTCAAGTTTCACCACTTGCATGTGTTATTTTCATAATTTTAAACCCCATTTAACAGTAAGTGAAATTATTAAAAAAGAAAAAAAAAATGAAGAACGTAACCTAAATAGGGTCAGAAAATCATGCGGCCGGGTCTAAACCTCAAGGATCCCTATTTTACCCAAGCGGTTAAGCCGCCTGCTCTGCGCCTCCCCAAAGGTGGGGTGATGACAACACCCACCTCAGAGCTGTGCTCAGGGTGGGATGAGTTCCAGGAGCAGCACCTGGAAACCTGCCAGGCACAGAGCCACTCCTTGGGAAGCGGCAGCCACTGTCAAGTTCTGCGAAGGCTGATCGTACAAATGTGTCACCTTGACTGGGCCATGGGGTGCCCAGAAACTTGGTCAAGAAGTAATCTGAATGTGTCTGTGGCAGTGTTTCTGGGTGAGATTAACATCAGCGGGTAGGCTGAGTAAACAGGTCCCTCCTTACTGTGAGTGACGAGGACTCATCCAATCAGCTGGGGTCTGAATAGAGCAAAGAGGCTGACCCACTCCCAGGGTCTTGAGGACGGGAATCCCAGTGCCTGGGCCTCAGTCCTGTCAAGCCTTTGGGCTGCAGTCATACCCTCAGGTCTCTGCGGGCTCCAGCTCGCCAACTGCCCAGCTTGGGCTTGTCAGCCTCCAGCATCAAGTGACACAATTCCTTCTGATGAGTCTGTACATACACTCCTATTGGCTGTTTCTCTAGAGAATCCTAGAACAGGATTTATAAAATTCTGTTTCTTCCAGATCTAGCTATAAAGTTACAGCCTTGCCAGGCACTGATGCTCACACCTGTCATCTCAACACTTTGGGAAGGTAAGGTGGTAGGATCGCTTGAGGCCAGAAGTTCAAGACCAGCGTGGATAACATGGCAAGATCCCATCTCTATTTAAAAAAAAATAGCCAGGCATGGTGGCTCGAGCCTGTAGTCCCAGCTACTGGGGAGGTGGGGGTGGGAGAACCACTTGAGCCCAGGAGTTCAAGGCTGCAGTGAGCCATGACTGCACCACCGCACTCCAGCCTGTGTGGTGGGGGAGACTCTGACTCTAAAAGTAAAATAGTTTCAGCTCCTGATAGTTTCAGCCTGACTTGCTCAAGTTTTTCCATGTTTTTGAGTGATCAGGGGTCAGTGAAAACAGAGAAGTTTCTGACTCCAAAGTTCCTCCTGGGGCTGGGTCCCAGACTCACATGCCCACCCAGCTGCTTGGCCTGAGGCTGGCATTGGTGCACCCTGAATCCCCTCTGGTCAGTCCCAGTTCCTACGGCAGACCTTGGCTGAGCAGGAAGAACAGGGTGCCATGGCCCGCACCTGGCCACTCTGCCAACAACTGCCATTTTTTCTATTATAATTTATCACGTGCCGGTTCCCTAAATGGTTTGGGGTGACAAAGATTGATCCATTATATACATGAAAAACTTGTTTCAGGCAGGCACGCTGGCTCATGCCTGTAATCCCAGCACTTTGGGAGGCCTAGGCGGGCAGATTGCTTGAGCTCAGGAGTTTGGGATCAGCCTGGGCAACGTGGCAAAACCCCGTCTCTACTAAAAATACAAAAAATTAGCAGGGCATGGTGGTATGTGCCTGTAGTCCCAGCTACTCAGGAGGCTAAGGCATGAGAGCCGCTTGAACCTGGGAGGCAGAGGTTGCACTGAGACGAGATCGTACCACTGCACCCCAGCCTGGGCAACAGAGCAAGACTCTGTCTCAAAAAAATAAAAATAAAAAAGAGAAGAGAGGAGAGGGGAGAGGGGAGATGGGAGAGAAGAGATTGTTTCCGGTGCAGAAATAAAACCAGTTAGGAAGAAGATAAAAATATATCAAATGCCTGAGAACTAAGGTCCCCAAATCACATGAAAAAAATCTCACAAATACATTTCAAATAAATTTCACAACTCACGTCAAAAACCTTGTGATAAATATTCTACCAACTCCCCTAATCATAAGGGAACTGGAGGACAGGAAGATTAGCTGGTGGCCCCTCAAAGTCATGTATAGCATACTGAAATGGCAGAGGTGAATGTTTCTGTGGTTTTGCAAAGACCAAATGTTATCTCTAGCAATCAGCTTAGCAGGCCCTTTCTGCATTCCATTTGCAAAAACAAATCAGCTGTGAAATAGAGGCCATTCCACTGAGGGAAGGAGAAAAACATTCCTAAATTACACGTTTAGAAAATATTCGTGATTCCCTAGATCATAATTTACATTTTCTCTGTCGTAAAAGGGATACATATTGTACGCTCCATTCTTTTCTGTTTCGTTCAATAATATAGTCAGATAAAAGACCCATTTAGATTATAACTTTTCAACAGAAAACACATATAAAAATTACACTAGAAATTGACAAGGCCTGACATTTAATTAATAAGATGTGTAATAATTGCATAATATTTTATTTGAGCATGTTTTCAGAGGATAAGACATCAAGTTTTACGGCTTAAGCCAGTGATAGAAAAGGAACAGAACCTGGGCCAGGCAGGGTGGCTCACACCTGTTACCCCAGCACTCTGTGAGGCCGAAGCAGGGGAATCACTTGAGCCCAGGAGTTCAAGACCAGCCTGGGCAACACAGTGAGTCTGAAAATAAAATAAAATAACGAATTCTAAGCCATGGCCCTTTGATGAAGAGTGCCCCAGGCAGGGCTGCCTGTCAGCAGACTATTCCTGGGCAATCCTCTCTCGGTTCACAGCTTCTCCCTTCTCCACAGGCCCACCTCTATGCTCTGAGAGCAGGACGGGTCCTCACCAACCCCAGGAATTAACATAAACCCCAGCAAAAAGCTGGCCTGGGCGCATGCTGGTTCAACACACACAAATCTATATGACTGCTCAGTAAGACGCATGTTTAAAGTGTCTTTAGGCTTATTCAGTAAGATTCACACATCGTAAGCCTAAAACTGGCTGGAACGCAACAGGAGCTCGCGTGTCTCAGGGATTAACTGTTTTCTGGTCCAGACGGCTCCCAGGAAGCTGTGTGCAGACAGGACAGAAACCTGTCGTCAACCACCAGACTCTGACCAGCTTAGAAGGAGTGAGAGGTGTCAGCCCCACAGCCAGAGACAAGCCACAGCAGATCTGATTAGCAAGCCCTCCGTCACCGGGGTGTGGGTCCGAGTCCTGGGTCCAAGCGTTTAGTAAAGGACAAAAAAGAAAGGGAGGACGGAAGAGAGAGCCGGGAGGGAGGGAGGGGACGGCCCAACTCTGTCCCGCACCTTCGGAAGAATTCCTTGCTGACCCAAGATACCAGGTTAGTGTCTAAGAAACCAGGGTGAGAGCCCTCGCAAAAGCCGTGCTCCCCACAGCAGAGAGCTCAGAGGGAATCGGAGGGCGAGCGCAGGGGCCTGGGCTCAACTCAGCCCCGTGCTCCTGCCCTGCAGGTGCCACTTGTACCATCTGAGCGTGGGCAAGGGGACGAGGGGACCGGGAGACGGTGGGGAGAGGGCGCTGGTCACGTATCTGAAGTCCCTGCACTCTGCCTGTCTGTCATTCAACATGGCAATTTCTCTACCACATGGCCAAGAACAACCTCCCAGGCAGCGCAGAGCAAGACAGAGACAGCTCCTCCTGTGGTCTCTTCTCCTTTTGGGCCACACCACAAAGAAAACAGACACAGACAGACCTGGCAAACGTACTCACCACGGGAGTCTGTCCGAATGAGCTGGACTTCGCAGCGTCCTGGCAGAGGCTGAGCCCCAATGGGCTGCCCCAATTGAAAAAGCAATGCCATGTGCAGACATAAATCCAAAGGCACTTCAGAGGACAGAGAGAGCCTCCGCGGGACCCCAGCCCAGGCAGCCTCGCACAGCCGCCCGCCCGCGCCTTCCTCAGCAGTTTTCTGAGTTTGCTTGTTAGGGCAAATCCTAAGATCGTGAGCACAATGGGTTACGTAACCCTAGGCAGCCTGGGAACCCTATCGGCTCATCTTGTTAAGCCATCCCAGACAGAAAATGACACACCCAAAAACGTGATACCTCTGGGTTGGGGGTAGGGGAGCAGCAAGGAGAACAGGGCTTTGTGATGGGCATTCAGTCGTGCCTAAAAATTAAAGTGGAACAAAAAGTCTGCTGTTCATCTCAGGGCTTGCTGGGAACCGGGGGAGGAGTGAATTGTCGGGGGCTGAGTGCCAGGCAGTGTCCTGAGAGTGCACTCGGCCAAGCTCTGGGAGGCCACAGACGCATTCCTGGGGACAGCCTAGGTCTCTCGGAGAATGTTTTTCATTTACTGTCTTCCTTTCAGTGACTGCCTAATAAAACTTTAATCCGAGCATGTTCTCCCTCCATCACCTGGCAGCCCATACCTCTGTGTTTACACTGCTGTTTACCAAGCCACTGCTAACCGTGACAGCACTGCGCCGTCTCTCAGCTGTCCTCCGGTCCCAACAAAGAACCGCCAAGTCACCACATCCTATACGGTGTGAAGTTTCAGCATTGCACTCTGCCATTTCTCTACCCTCCGTTGCCACGTTCAGAGAAAGCGAGACCAGCCTAGCAGGCTGCATGCTTCCTGGATTTCACTGGTACAGACGCCACGAGAATCCCAAGGATCAGCTCCTGTGCTTGGACAAACGTGGGTGCCATTGGGACGTCGCCTCCTCCACAAGGCCCTTGTGGTGGCTCCTGTCCTTCCCCTCCAAGGTTCAGCTTGGCACCGTCCCTGGTGCCCTCCTGTGCTGTGCTTCTCACTGTGCCAACCTCAGTGTACAGCCAATTTCTACTCACTCATCTGTCTCCCCAGCTAGACTGCATCTTGGGCAGCAGAGAACCCCTGCCCTGGGGTCCCACGGACCTGGATGCAAGTCCTGCCGTCAAGAGTTCCGCCAAGGTGTGGAGCCTTCTGAGAGGCAGACTCTTCACCTACACAAAGAGGGTGATAGTGCCCACTTCACAAACGGACACAACTGATACACCCAACACACGTTCGCTGAGCACGACGTCAGTCACTGGACACAGGAGTGCGCAAAGCTGATACACAGCCTGCCCGCTGCGAGTCTACAGTCTGCTGCAAGTTTGGCAGACGAAATGCAAATGCAGGAGCTCGAAGGATGGTTAAGTCTGGGGAAAAAGTCAGCAGGAAAGGGAGGCAGGGAAAGGTGGGGAAGATCACTCTTTATGCGGGGAGGGAGGGGGTCACAAAAAGCATCAAATACGTCACTTGGGGCCAGACACGGTGGCTCACACCTGTAATCTCAGCCCTTAGGGAGGCACAGGCGGGAGGATAGCATGAGCTCAGGAGTTCGAGACTGGTCTGGGCAATATAGGGAGGCCTCATTTTCCACAAAAAGGAAAAAAACAAAGAAGCGTAAAATGTCACTTGGAGAAGGAGGAGGGGTCACAGGCTCTCTGGAGTCAAAGCAATCCAAAGGCTCTGCGGCTGGATGTGTCTGGTGAATTCCAGGTTAAGTGAGGCGGCCAGTGCCCGGAGCAGGCTGGGCACAGAGGGCAGGTCAGCGGGGAAAGAGGGAGGCCCATCGTTCAGCCCCTTCCTTCCAGGTCTCTATACGAGCAGAGCTCACGGGAAGTTTGGAGGAGAGGTAAAACGTCGGACTATTAAAAGCCAACTCTCACGGCCGGGTGGAGAAAGAATTTTAGGGAGGCAAGGACAGCAGTGGGGGCCGCTGGGAGCCAGCGCGATCGCCCTGGTGTGAGGTGGGGGTGCTGGGACCCGGGAAATGCTGGGTAGATTCTGGGCACACTCAGAAGACAGAGCCAACAGCATTCCTAACAAACTGGGGTATGAAAGAGAGAAGCGCAGAATCATAAATGCCTCCAAGATGCTTGGCCTGGGCACCTAAAATAATGCAAGTACCACTCACAGGGCGGGGAAGACCCCAAGGAAAGCGGGTGGAGGTGGAGACCAGGAGCTCAGCTTTGGTCACGTGAGCTTGACATGCCTGTCAGACATCTGAGTGGAAGTTCATGTGGAGTCTTCAGCCTGAGACGTCTGGCCTTGGGGAGAAAGGTCCAGGCTGAGTACACAGTAGGCGATTTTAAAGGCTGTGTGCTGGGTGAGGTCATGTGCTGCCTGGGTGTGGACATAGGGGTGGGAAGACTGGGCCCTGGGCCCTTCGACGTTCCCAGGCTTGGGAGAAGAGGAAGCGCAGACGCTGGGGCAGGAGAACAGGGAGAGTGTGGAGACGTGGGGGCCCAGAAGCCAGGTAAGGACGGTGCCTCCGGGAGACAGGACTTGGCCACGGTGTCAGCGACTGCTGACGAGTGAGCTCAGGCGAGGATGGAGGACGGTCCCTGCACTGACCCAGGCTGTGAATATGGTGGGCAGGGGCCTGCCTGCAGGGGCCTCCAGAGAGAACAGAAGAAGAACTAGAGCAAGCAAGCAGAGGAGCAGAGACGCTGCGGGAACGCGGGGCTGAGGACTCTATTTCAGAAGACGGAGATCACAGCCCGTTTCTGCATGAGTAAGGAAGATCCCAGGGCAAAGGGAAAAGGGTGATGCAGGGGAGGAAAGGGAGATGTGGGAACGCGTCCCTCAGGGGGCTGGGGGGGGGGAGGGGGCTCAGCCAGGAGTGTGGGCCAGTCGGCAAAAAGGGAGAGGAGGAGCAGGGCACCAGGCTGGGAGCTCGGCCTCCTCCGTGCCTTTCTGCATCCAGGAACCCCTGACCCACAGGAGGTCCTCAAGGCTTAACCGGTAACACAGAACAGAGAAGCTACTGGAACCCAGCTTGCATCCCTGAAGCCGTCGTCAGGCATCACTTCAAACAGACAAAACCAAACACTGCAGACGAAGGTGAGAAACCGAGCACGCTCCTACAGGAACGCAACTGGATTTCACCAATTCTGCGGCTTGCTGCTGTCACGCACCCCACCCTCCACCATTTCCACGGAGAGCCCTCTCCTGTGCCAGCTCCAAGCACTTGTCTCAGTGTTTCCTGGGGGAAAATAAAGAAGCAAGAGTGCAGTGAGTACGGAGTGCCTGCACGGCGATGTCCCCTGGGAGGCGATCACCGCCTGGGACTCAGACACTCATGACTGACACAGGCATCGTAAGACCCGCGTCGGAGCAAGTCCCCATGTGTGCAAAGGGCGCGGCGTGAAGTTCCCTGTCTGCATCCCACAGGGACGCTGCCGGTCTCTCCCGTTATACCTGCCTTATATCCGAAGAAGCTGACCCCAAAGAGGGAAGGAAGGGTCCCGTCTCCAAGGCGTGCCTGCGACGGGCCATGCTGGCTGCTCGGGTTTCAGTGTTACCGTCTTTGGCCTTCATGACCGTTCGGTGAGGTGCTGTCTGCATCTTCGTCGGGGGAGCAGGTCGACAACTGACCCATGTTACAAACGCTCACTGCAGAATGGCTCTGGACGGGAGGCCTCACAACCCAAAGCCCTCTTTCCCACTCTGGTGGTTCCTCTCCACACACCTCCCCCAGACCCTCCCGCGTTCCTGAGTCCTCAGTGACTGAAACCTCCCTCCCTTCCTCCCTGGCAGGGAAAGGGCCACATACCGGTAATGGTGCAGGCATCCCGGTACCCTCTGCAGCTGGGAGCATCTTCCACAGCCTCGCTTACATAGTGCTCCTCAGGGATGCCCGGGCTGCAGGCTAGGACTGCATGGTTGCATGCCTCCGAGGGGGGCACGGAGCTGGCCAAAGTGTCGTCGTGCAGAGCTGTGGCGTCCAGCTTGGCAGGTTTCACAGGGAGGTGCCCACTGCCATTGGGGGCCCCACTGCCGGAGTCTGGGGCAGCAGGTGAATGGCCCCCAGTGGTTCCGGTGCACCAGCAGGGGCTCCTTACAGGGACTCTATAGGACAATTGAGAGAGAGGGGCACAGTTAGAGTCTGTCAATCAACCTCAACAAACCTTTAGGGAAGAAGGGCCTGAGATGGCGTGTGTTCAGACTGAATTCTGAGAGTGTTTCCCTCGCGGGAAGATGTCTGCCATCACATTGCTTAGTTTCAGTACAACAGCTGCAGCAAAGTTCCATTCAACTAATCAGGTATCCATGCTGACCAAATGTGGACATGGCTTCATCTGCCTACTGAACCACGCCTTGAAGTAGCTCTAAGCAAACAAAACACATCGGAGCACAGCTTAAACCTGTATTCCGGCAGGATTTATACACACAAAGAGGTCACATTTTTACTTGTATGTCGAATTACATAAGATATGTTTCTCTTAAACCCTCCCAACCACAATAACTTCTCAACTCTGTAAGGACTTTAAGGTATGTCCCTACCTTAAGCTGCAGTGAGAAATTAGGGGACTCCTTTAAGAACCTGATAAAAATGGCCGGGAGCGGTGGCTCACCCCCATAATCCCAGCACTTCGGGAGGCCGAGGTGGATGGCTCATTTGAGGTCAAGAGTTCGAGACCAGTCTGGCCAATATGGTGAAACCACATCTCCACTAAAAAAAAAAAAATTGACCAGGTGTGGTAGCAGCCAGCCACCTGACATCTCAGCTACTCAGGAGGCTGAGGGAGGAGAATCACTTGAACCCGGGAGGCAGAGGTCGCAGTGAGCTGACATCGCACCACTGCACTCCAGCCTGGGCCACAGAACAGGACTCCACTTCAAAAAAAAAAAGAAAAGAAAAGAAAAAAAGGAATCTGATGAAAACTATAAGCTCACCCCCATTTAAAACCTGACGACTAAAGACACCTGCTGAGAAAATGCTGGCACGTGACAGGCGGCCCAGCGTCCGCTCTGCTCCAGCCACGGCATTTTCCACGGCCCTCCGGAGCACGCCACCTCACCTCCCAGCCCACCTGCACGCACACCACAGGTGCACACTCAAGATGCCAAACAGGAGCTTCCCGGAAAAGGAAGCCTACAAAACATTCCTCAGCACAGGAGATCACAAAGTGTGGTCTGAGAATCCCTGGAGTTTCCTGAGACGGATTCAGAAGGTCTACAAAGTCAAAGTTGCTCTCGCTCTCACTCTTCCGTGGATGTGCGTGGAATTTTCCAGAGACAACATTATGTGTGATGATGCCATTGCTCTGGAGGCTAAGTAACGGGGCCTTCGTATCCCTGCGGTTTCACATCTGATGTTTCAACTTCTAATATAATGTCTATGAATCAATAGAACCATATAAATAAAAATGCTTTAGGAGGCTCCATAACTTTGAGGCATCCCAACACCCCCCCACACACA